GGAATGCAACCCGGCTCGCATTATGACTCATCTACCTTGCCCGGGGGGGCCCGTGGTCGACTTCATCATTGCCGGCGATTCTTCAATGGCTTTGGTCGATGAGAGCACGGATGCCGACGGCAAGCCTGTGCGCGTGAAGCGCAATGTGGGTGAGTATCTCAAAGAAGCAGGGCCAACGCTTCTTACTGATCGTGCTGGCAGTGTGCAGCACAGCCTTCATTGAGGAAAAGGACTTGAGTCCATCATCGATGGCATTGAGTTCTGCCTCAACAACAGCCGTCGTCGCACACCGGGAGGTGATGCCCCAGCTGTGATCGTCATCTCCTACGCGGGGAATGACGCGTATGGGAACCATGGGTTCGTTGGTAACCCATGGGTTGACACGAATGTGTTGCATCGCAATCCGGCCAAGCAACGAGCAGCTTACGAATGGCAGGCCGAGTTGGCCCAAAAGCATGCGCAACAGCTTCGTCGCCTTGCTGACCTCCGTCAGCGAAAGGACGTTGCAGCCATTGTTGTGGTGTGCTATTGCGACTCCCAGAGCTATGGATTGCCCGAGGAGTTCGCCCGGCAGATGTGTCAAACTGCCGAGGTCTTCACGAAGTTGGGAGTGACCGCTGTCACTGGCACAACCTTGGTGCGGTCATGTTCACGGTATGACAACGTCCACTGCCTGAACACGGAAGAAAGCCGCTCCTTCTTCGTGAAGTATTTTGCCAACGTGGCCTATCACTGCTGGGTCCTGTCAGGGGTTGACGCCCTCAGGAAAGATGCAAACTTGTTTGCGAAGCCCAGGGGTGAGAAGACACAGAAGAGGATCGATTCTGGATACCTGGATACCTCTTCCTCGGTGATTGGCACGACAGCGGATTTCCCGGTGAAAAGCGACAGACTGCCATTGACCAGAAGAACGGGTGGAAGCTCACCGTGAGTGGGACAGAAGAGGTTGCCTTCATGGACGCATGGGGTGACCCGATCTACGCCACCGAAGAGGAGATCGCTGCGGCAAAGCTTTTGCCGTTCAAACAGCACCTCTACAATACGCCACGGGGGACCGTTGGCCCGGACTCCTATGACAAAGGTCAGGATGCTCAGATCGTGTCAGATTCGTCCGCGGCTGATCAGCCTATGCCAGATGCAGGTGAGCCAGAGGTCATTCAGATCGATGACACATTTGCGCCCAGTGCTGATACGCCTCCGGGAACGGATGGCCGAGATGCGAACAATCAGGCCCCAGTCACAACTCCGGGCATGGAGTTCGTCTCTGTCACCACATCGACGCCGAAAGAGGGTGACACCGAGATGGATCCAGTTCCCATCACGGAAGAAGAAGAACTCGTCGTCTCCAACGATCCCATTGAAGATGAGAAGTATGTCAACGAGCTTCTCAAGGATCATCTCAAATCCGCCATTAAAGAAGGCTATGAGGACAAAGACAAGCCAGATGAAGACTCCGACGAGGAGATTCTGTTCAAGGAGCCAATCCTCACATCTATGCATGCTGAGTCTTGTCAGGTCGCGGGTGTGACCTATCAGCTGAGGAAGAATGACGATGAGAATGACCTCATTCGAATCTTCATGGCCGAAGAGGACATTCCTCAGCTCACGGGCGAGGCCCTCAGAAAGTTTCTGGAGGTCACCACCTTGGGAAATGAGTCCGACTTGGCGAAGAAGGTTCCGCAGCAGAAGATCCCGAAGGCGAAGGCACAACCCAAGTCGCCAGCTCCCACAAAACGCCCGGCGGGAGCTGTGGCCTCGGATACAACGCCTACGGCAAAGCCTGCTGTCAAAGCAAAGGCCATGCCCCGCGCGCCTCCGATGCCATCGGTGCCCTCTCCGCTCGAAGAAAATGAAGTTGTGGCACTACAGTCGAGATCCGTGCCAGGTGCCTCCAACTTGCCCCACTTGAACTCGAAGCAAGTCTGGCTGTCGCGAAGGGTTTCCGGCCTCCTCCGAGGTTGGGAACACAGCAGACAGTCATGGCAGAAGGTGCAGCCACCCAGCTTTGAAAAGGGTCTGATTATGGCAAGGTGTACAATGTCATCAAGCGCAAGTACGACATCAACTTGACAAATAATGAATTGCTCCGTGTCATTACGTCCAACCATCGCTTCATGCTGGAAGTGAAGATTGCGCCAAAGGGGACTTTGGTCGGTGGAAAGTACTTTTACACCACTCAGGATCAAGGCCATTCAGAACCACAATGAGTGGTCGAGCACCAAAGTACAGGATGCCCTTCCTGAACATGAGCGCTTCATCAGCCTTGACGACGAGTACGGTGCTACTGACTTCCAGGCCGGCAAATTCCCACGGCTTCCACGTGGTGCACTTGGGAGGATCGCTGACGTGGCCCCAACCATCGTCTACCACTACACCCATAGAGCAGCTTTTCTCGACATTATCAACATGGGCTTGATCCCTGGTGGAAATAGAACCGGCGCTCGCTTCACCTTCCTCACGAAAGAGGACCCATGGACCATCTCAGGAACTGACTACGCTGCGATGGCGGCCACGCGCCCTGTGCGCGTGGCGCTGGATCTGCAGATGATGATCCTGAATGGGCATCGGCTCATCGAGACCACCGCTGGGACCATCCTATGCCCCGACTGGATTCTGAACAAGTATGTGATCTACGTGTACGACATGGATGCCAAGTGCTATTCGTTTGCCAATCATGTGTATGCCCATTTGCGGGGAATTCACACAGGGCAAACCAAGGCATTCTACTCTGCACGCACGGGGGACCGGCTGCTGATGACGATGATATGGTGGAAAGTCCATTCGAAAAGTACACCGCTCGTGTTCTTGGTGACTGTGAGAAGTGGTGCGGCAAAGTGGACACTTTTTCACCATTTGTCTACGGCGAGTTTTCCCGGATCAATGATGTGAAAGACCAAATGATCTCAGGGAAGAACAACCCGGAGCTGAAGGTCTATGAGATCACATACATTGCTCGCAAGCCAAACTTCAACGCCTACAAGAACAAAGTGTCGCCTGAAACGATGATGCCCAATTACAATCGTCCTCGATTTGATTGGCGCAAGGTGCATCCAGACACCGAGGGTTTTGGCAACACCCGTTGGATTGTAGTTGAAGGAATCCAGATGCATGAAGAGCAGTGCCCAACCTGCACACAGATGTATACTCATGGCGCAATGGCCTGTACCAACTGCGGCGCGTTCCTCAACAATGCGTCCGACCTATGCAAAGCGGCCCAGCTCATCCGGATTGAAGAAATGGCGTCAGACCTGGGGGTCGAAGTCACCATGGATATGGTTCCGGAGGACAGGCTGCAAGGATCCGGACTGAGGAAAACGCCGGCGGGGACGCCTGGCCATGAAAAGCCTAGAGCATCGAGGTCTGGCATCAATATCCTGAAAGCAAACGCCGAGAGCCACGTTCAAAAGGCGGAGAAGATGTGCCTGACGGTCTCGCAAAGGCAGCTGGTTGACGCGTTCTACGCATTCAACTGTGCAGCTCAGGACTTATCGCCCATCTGTATTCAGTTCCTGGAGCGCCTCTCCGATGCGGTCATTCCTGACCCTCCTCGGACACGTGAAATGATTTCACAGGGACTTGGCCACAGGTACTCAGGCAAGGTCATCTTCATGAATGAGATTGCCAAGGGTGACGACGCCGACATCAGTGAAGACTTCTTCGTCTACTGGAAGAACCGTCTCCATCGGCCAGAAACCTTGGCTGCTGACTAGTGACTACTGCCAGGGGCCGAAGCGACCAGCCATCCTTGGTTTTGGTGGCGAATGGCGCAGCGAGAAGGATGATCCTGATGATGTGCTAGCTTCTCGCATTCGTGGCAGAAGATGCTCAATTCATTCCTGGCCTGAATATCAACCTGGTGAAGGAAACCAGGGCGCTCGTGATTCCGAAAGCCAAGGCCGCGCCAAGAGCTGGAGCTTCATGGTGTGATCCTGCCCAGGATTGGCAGCATCAATCATCTTAACTCGTGGTGGTCCTCCTCCCGAGACTGGTGGCAAGATGACCGTGGTCGTGGCAGCGATTGGCGAGGTCAAGACTGGTGGAGTCAGCGCAGGTGGTAGGCGCATCGCACGGCGGGAGCCGTTGCCTGTGGAGATAAGTAGAGTAAGATGGAATCCATAGGTGGCAATGCTCCCATCGGGCATTGCGCATCCCTCATCGCACCGCGGGAGCGGTTGCCTGGATGACCGTTTCGGCTGTGCACCGGGGGACCGGTTGCCCGACACCAACAGTTAATTCATTTGAGTTTAAGTCGATGCACTTTACTCCAAATCCTTGCATTCAGAAGCGCGCATACTTTTGCCGTGCATTGTCGCCACGCGGGAGCGTGGGCATTGATGGCTTAGTTCCTGCTTTCTAAAAGGTTGGCGTTGCGCGTCCAGTTCCATTGCGCTGAAAAGAGTCCATTATCACACTTTACATTGGTTTTGATTGCGTGCGTCAGTTCCAGACATGTACTACACCAGCAGTGAAACTTAACAGCGCTGTCATTCACATGCCCTTGAGGTCAACCATCCTCTCCATCTCGAGGTGCGTTCCGGTTCGCTGCATCGCACGTACCGGGGGACCGGATACCGTCGTAGGTCTCATAATTCATACACTGTACATATCCTCACTCCTCCCATTTTCGTTCAGCGGGGGGTGTTGTTTCACAGTGGTGTACTATATACATGCCTAATTACCACTGACTTTGGCTCAAGGAAAACAGATGCGGTTGGTGGTTAGTGTCGGCCGTTTACCTGTAACTACACGACTGCCTTTGGCAAAATTCAGATAGCCATTGCCATTTGGGTTTGGGCATGCCGCTGACTCGTTCTTTCTGTGCTCATTGTTTATTTGTTTGCCCTTTTTTGCGCAGACGTTTCTCCCACATTCGGCATTTTTGTGTGCGTATGACCAGACACGTGAAGCAGCGTCAGTGACATGCAATTGCCAGCCAACGACTTCTTTTAGGAGGGGTGCTTGTGAATGAACGAGGCAATGCTTATGCGACTCATGTTTATGCGGTGCTTATGGTGTTTGCCAGTCAACACTTCGCCTTGTTTTGACACCTGATGCGGTGGGCATTGTGCTGGAGCTTGCTTCATATAGCTTTCAGCAAGCAGTGGCAGCATGCTTGGAGACAAGAAGGCTGCTTGGCTTAGGAGTTCCGTGAGGTTGCGCTTAGCGCTGAATTTGCTTGAGTTCATTTCAGATGTCCCATTGTTGTCATTGCGCTGTTGTATTTCCGGTTGTTTGCCGTGTCAACTTGGTATGGAACAAGCTTTGTTGTGTCAGTAGGGACACATGATTCCCTGGCTTGTTACATGAATTGAGAGTTGAATTGAAAGTTGCATTGCCCGGCCCCGTTGACAAAAGGAAAGCATTTGCCGGTGGATCCTGCGATCCTTAGCCAATCTCAGAAACTGGGCGGGGCACCAAGGGCCGTTCTCATCGCACCACTTCCCCACCTAAGGAACGTGCATCCATCAAAGAAGATGGCGCATCGCAACAGTCGAACGGCAGGAGGCTGCAGATTGGGCAAGATCCAGCCGAGTTTGTACGTTATCTAAAATCAGAAAAAGGATGAAAAAGGTATACGTGGGACCCCTTCATTCTGGACATTTAGATCAAAACCTGGTGGAACCCACGATCCCGAATGTGACACATATATATAATATATACCGTATACATAATTTGAAACACCACTATCCAAATTGTAGGTGGCATCTTTCTTTCAAAGTCTGACTCCAGACTCTCAATGTGTGTTTTCTTTTCGATGCGCGCCTCCTATTTCACGGGCCTCTCCATCACCAGGTAAAACCCTGCGGACCGTTTGGCGACGGGCGGAGCCCGGCCGTTCGTAAGGCCAAAACTAAAATCCGATCGGAATCTTTTTCTCGCGCGTGCACGCTTTCCAGCAGCAGCGCCCTTGTAAGACACTCTTGTGGGACACTCACTTGCCACACTCTGGTGGTGGGACATTCTTGTGGTACACTCTTGCAGGACACTTTTGTGGGGCACTCTTGCGGGACACTCTTGTGGGACACTCTGGTGTGTAACTCTTGCAGGCCAGTGGCGCACTCTTCCATTGAGGGACACTCTGAAGTTTGGGGGGGTTCGTAAGATTTGCGATCTTGGCGCAACCTCCGCAAAAAGGAAGCCGCCCAATTTGAGGCAAGGGGGTGTAGTATGTAGTTTTCGATGGTGATCTATTTTGTGGTGCGCGAGGAAACTTGCACTATATATTTTTGGGTTCTGTTTATATATTCTTCTTGATTTTTTGTTTCAAATGGTTTCCTTTTAAAAGCACTTTTTGTTCCGATTGATGTCCTTATCAAGTGCTCCTGGCTTTCGTTGGTTCTCTTTTTTAAAGCCCTTTGAGCCTTTTGACTTCTTACCTCTTGACTCCTTTGGATGTCGGTCTACAAACGATCGGAAATATTGTATATCAATTTCTTTGCGATGTCTTAAGTCACCTTCTTTTCAATCCCTTGTAAGCTTCTTCAAATTTAAAGGCTTACGCCTAACAGCCGGGCGCCGGCCCACGAGGGTCTGTGTAGGGCTGGGTCGGGTGCACGCGCAGCTATCGGGGGCGTACTTGGCCCTAGGTTGGGCCAAGTTGGGCCCATGTGGTCTACGTTGGGCACATCTTGGGCCCATGTTGATCCTACGTTGGCCTATGTTAGGCCTATGTTAGGCCTATGTTGGCCTATTAGCCTAGGTTGGGCCTATGTTGGCGTATGTTGGCCCCATATGTTAGTTAGGCAATTTAAGTCGTCTGGAGGGCCTCTGCCTGTCCGCCCGGCGCGCATTACCGACACCACCCTTGAAAAACACAGCGTTCTTGCATTTCTCCATCTTTGCCGCGTCGCACTTCGATACGCGCAATAAACCATGTAAAAAGCACAGTGCTTTTTATACCTTGCACACACGAAACACCGTAAATTACGTCGATTTCAGTGAGCTGGACGTCCCCCCGTTTTCATGACGAGGGTCGGCGGCAGGGGGGGTGACAGTATATAACCTTCGGTTAGCGCCTAAAGCCCTCCGGGCAGGGCACGGGCTTCGTGGCCGGCGCCCGGATTTAAAGGCTTACGCCTAACAGCCGGGCGCCGGGTCTGTGTAGGGCTGGCACCCCGGCAAAAAGCTGAGCAAAGTTACATCTAGGGCCATTGGGCCAAGTTGGGCCCATGTGGTCTATGTTGGGCACATCTTGGGCCCATGTTGAGCCTATGTTGGGCCTATGTTGACCTATGTTAGGCCTATGTTGGCCTATGTTGGCCTAGGTTGGGCCTATGTGTTGGCCTATGTTAGGCCTATGTTGGCCTAGGTTGAGCCTATGTTGGGCCCATGTTGGCGTACGTTGGCCTATGTTGGGCCTATGTTGAGCCATCTTGGAGGCTATGTTGGGCATATGTTGGGGACATGTTGGCTATCTTGGGCCTATGTTGAGGATATGTTAGGCAATTTAAGTCGTCTGGAGGGCCTCTACCCACAAAATGTCGATTGTGCCTGTCCGCCCGGCGGGCATTACCGACACCACCCTTGAAAAACACAGCGTTTTTGCATTTGTCCCTCTTCGCCGCGTCGCACTTCGATACGCGCAATACTCCCTGTAAAACACAGTGTTTTTCCTGAAAGCATTGCGAAGGGTTCTTCCGGAAAATCCCTTGAACACTGACACTTAGACACTTACACTTACGCACTGACACTTCCACACTTGCAATTGAACACTGACACTTCTACACTTACACTTGAACACTTACGCTTCCACACTGACACTTGAACACTGACACGTCTATACGTATCCCAGTGTAAGGGTACAAAGCATCCAAGGGCAAAAGGGCAAGTATGCAAGTGTAAGTGCAATCCCAGTGCAAGGATGCAAGTAAAGTAAAAGTATGAGTATGGAAAACTTGCACGGGAGATGTCCTAATGAAAAACATTTCCCCACTTTATCAATTCTCTCTTAAAGGCGGAGGGCGCGTAAAACTAGTAGAGTAGTTGCCTCAGCGTGGCAAGGCTCCAAACTAGCACAAACTAGTAGTTGCCTGGCTTGTGCCAGAAGCTCACTCCCAAGGCTCCCGACAATCTGCTCCGCCACGCTTTGCCACCATGGTGGTGGCCAGCAGACGGCTCCCACTCCCAGACAAGGCAGCATGCCCACTCCCAGACAAGGCCGTAGGAGCTATAGTAGCAACAGCGCGGGTAGGCGGGTACAGGCGCGCGGCACGTTGCCTTCGGGAGCCCATAAAACATTTGTTGCCTGGCTCACTCCCAAAGCTCCGGGGCCACAGCTTTCCACCATCGGCCGCAGCCGTCGCCTTCGGGAGCCCATCAAGCAGTTGCGCATCGCTTTCCATGCCCAGTTGCCTGGCAGCTGAGGTGAAGGCAGAATGCAGCCGCAGCGGAGGGTGCAGGCGTGCAGCAAAACAGCGGGTTTCGCAGTGGGGCCTTTTCCGGGGTAGCAAACGACACCATCTATTTCCACCCAAAAGGGGCGAGCCGCAGCCAGCCAAAATGCCTAACGTTGCCTTGCACGTTGCCTGGCACGTCGCCTGGCACGTCGCGTTCGGGAGCCCATAAAACTGGCAAAGTAGTTGCCTGGCACGCACTCCCAAGGCTCCAAACAAGTAGTTGCCTGGCGCGCGCTAGAAGCTCACTTCCCAGGCTCCCGACAATCTGCTCCGCCACATGGTGGTGGCCAGCAGACGGCAGCGTGGCCACTCCCACTCCCAGACAAGGCAGCATGGCCACTCCCAGACAAGGCCGTAGGAGCTATAGTAGCAACTGCACGGCTAGGCGGGTGCAGGCGTGCGGCAGCCCACGATGGCCTGCTGCCCTGTAGACTAGGGGCTTTTCTGGGGTAGCAAACGACGCCATTTATTTCCACACCAAAATGGGGCGAGCCGCACCCGGCCAAAATGCCTAACGTTGCGTGGCACGTCGCCTTCGGGAGCCCATAAACCTAGTACTAGTAGTATAGTTGCCTGGCGCGTGCCAGAAGCTCCCTCCCAAGGCTCCAAACTAGTACAAACTAGTAGTTGCCTGGCTCGTGCCACTCCCAGACAAGGCCGTAGGAGCTATAGTAGCAACTGCGCGGCTAGGCGGGTGCAGGCGCGCGGCCCCATGGCCACAGAGCGGCCTGCTGCCCTGTAGACTGCCCAAAACGGGCTGGGCCTGCTGCCCCGTAGACTGCCCAAAACGGGCTGGCGTTGGCGAGCGCAAGTCCGCATAGTAGCACTTGGCCATGGCTTCTCGCTGCGCTGTCCCGGGCGCCGCCCCGCCTAGGCCAGGGTCGGCGGATTTTTCATTGCGACCGCGCAGGGGGCCACTACTGCTACTACTACTACTACCACCACTACCACCACCACTACCACTACTACTACTACTACCACCACTACTACTACTACTACCACTACTACTACTACTACCTACCTACCTACCTACCTACCTACCTACTACCTACTACCTACAAGTACTACCTATTACCTACTGCCTACTACCTACTACCTACTGCCCACTACCTACTAACTACTACGACAACAACAACAACTACTACTACTACTACCACCACTACCATTACTGGTACTGGCACTACTACTACTACTACTTCTACTACTACTACTACTACCACCTGATTCACTCTTTCTCTAGTAGTTTTTGCAACAAGACACATTCGCGCGAAATAAACAGATACATGGAAGGCCCAGGATTCTTTGGGTGTACCCCTAATCTAGTGAGTGGCGACTATCGCTGGGACGCTTGATCGACATGGATCCCTAGTGCTAAACAGAAAATAAGGCAATCTGACAACTCTTTCCTCTGACAGATGGATCTCCCGGACCTAAACAGGCGACCCGTGCGCACTCAAAGGACCTCAATCCGACAACCTTTACTGGGCATGGGTATGAAATGAGGCAAGGACAAATGGCCTTCCCCTAAATGACCTTCCTAGAAATGTCTCCCAAGCGGCCGCAAAAGAGACGGCTTTAGAAACTTTCTGTTGCCCGCTTGCCACTTGCCTCAAGTGCGCCGCTGGGCCTGTCCTATCTCCGTTTGACTTACTTGCGCCCAAATGTCTGTATCGTCTGCGCGTCCATAGAAGATACGGACTTCTAAGCCTTCTCTCTCTCTCTCTACCCTGCACACCCCAACACCTGCCACCCTCGCTGCACCACCTTCCAACTTGATCCGCTCATGCCATGTGTCCCACTTGCCCCACTTGCCTGTGCACAGACGACATCAAGCTCACAACATCTACTCTGGATGATAGGTTAGAAATCTGGAGCAGGACCCTATTTATTCGACGCAGGAAAGGATGCAAGCTAAGATATTGAAGGAATGTCCTTGAGCTACTGGTTCAAAACCTGTGTCCCGCAAACTGCTCGCAAGCTCAGCATGTAAGCGGATTTGTAAGTTGCCACCAGTGATAAAAAGAAGACAGGGATATAAACAACTTGCGCTCAACCCAGTTGACCCTCTTGTGATCTACTCGCCCCATTCGAGCCCAGTTGATCCACTTCAACTAGTTTTGACGCAGTGGCGCCGCCCGAACCGATGGTCCCAGTTGACGTAGTTGCCATCACACAAAGTCAGCTGGGTCAAATGGACACCCTGTTCAACCGGGTCAACTCGACGCGCTCAAATGCAAAGATGTTGTTCTACAAGCGGGGTAGCCCAGTACACTAGAAACTGACTAGTACAACCTTGAACAACAACAAGGTTTGCCCTCTTTTCGCCTTGAGAATAGAATTCGCGCTTCGAAACTGTTCTAAGCTTTCATTATCCATGATCCATGCTTCTTTGAGCTAGGTGGAACCATCGGGCTACCTCTGGCAATGGGCTGGGATGCCTCCAGGCTCTTTGCGGACGAAGCGAATATCGCAAGCGCCTAAGAAGACTTGCCACCCGTCACGGGTGAAGCCAGACAATTTGATTGATATTTTGCGCGGGGTTTAGCACCATTGCGATTCAGCGCCACACTTTTTGCGTGATATTTTCCCGAAAGCATCTGCGAAAGGTTCTCCGTAAAGAATGGCTGCCAAGATCCACTGTCTAACTACCATCGTCTTCAACACGTCACAATCATCGCCGTCGTCACGATGACATACACCGGGGTCATAATCGTCATCAAGATGGTCACTGATCATCATCATTGTCGTCGTCATCATATTCAAGGTGGTGCAGGCGACTGATGTGACTACTCCAACGCACCCAACGCACCTACAACATCTTCATCGTCATCGACATCATCATCATCAGCATCATCATCATCATCATCATCATCATCGCCCTCATACAGGTGCACAGATGCAGGTGATGAACCTGCTACAACACACGCATGTGCGCCGTCTGGTGCATGGCCGGTGGGCTTGGCACCGTCCTCCCTCCCTGCAGGCGGCTTCGTCCACCTGTTGGTGTAACAAAGTGGTTGCTATCTTGCGGTCGTATAAAACCTCAAGCAACGCAAGTCATCTTTTACGCCAGCGAAGTCTCACTTCTCGGGTCGTGAAAAACATAACCCAACCTTTGCGGCTCTCACCCCGACCCGTGACTGCTCACAGAGAAAGGGAGCTTGCGCAATGAAGTTACAGTCAAACAAGTACTATTGCGTGAGCATTCTATAAGACGGTTCCCTTCGTTGCATAAAGATGCAACAGTCTTTCGCTATTGCGGTTCTTACTCCAAGTACAAGAAGGTGCCTCTATGCGTTTTGGCGCTTGGGTTCTGGTGCCGCTACTTGGGTGCTGGTGCCGCCGCCGGGCGCCGGTGCCAGATGTGTGGCGTGCGCTTTTGAAGCTTGGGCGCTGGTTCGGCGCCGCTGCCAGATGCGCTGCCCACAAAAGTCTTGGGCCGTTAGCGACCAAACTCACGGAGATTTCTCTGGGGGCTCCCAGGGTGCCTGCCGGTAATGTTGGCTTTAGGCCGCGCAGCTTCGGCCTCCGAAACGACTGTTCCCCAGTCCAGGTTCGCGGCGCCCTTGGCTTTTCGTTGTCGGGTCAACATGGACGGCGGCGTTTGCCACCACCCTTGCCCCGACCTTTTCCTTCGTCGCTTTGGCCTCTTCGTCGTCAAGCTTGTTGGTTGGGGCGCTTCACCGTGTGGGGGCACTGTGATCTCCCCACGCACCTGGCGCGCTCAAGGTGGGACACTAAGCACTGCCGCCACAGTCATTCTCACGAGATCTGTAGACGCGATTTGTGTATGTGTTTTTTTGTTTTCCTTGAGCGCGCAAGGACAGCGCCCAGGGTTCCAGGATGGAATTCGGCTTTGGGGCGCTGTGAATAGATTGCGCGCCGCTCCAAGCCCAGACGTTCCACGACAGAATTCCGGTTTTGAAGTTCCGGTTTTGGAGCCCCGTGCCAAACGGGGTCAGAACATCCCCCTTCCTTCTTCTGCTTCGCATTTTTCACGTCTCACGGGTGGGTGGGAACCCTTCGATGCCCAAATCGATCTGTCGCTCATTCCCCACCCTGCATCTGCAACTGCCAATCTTGTGAAGCTTTAAACTTTCACAGTCGTGCAATGGCCGGATCTGGCGCAATTCAGAGCAAGCAAGTCCGACTGCGAGGAGACCTTACTTTCATCGCGCGCGGAAATCGGTGATTTTGCCGCCTGCGTTGGATAACAAATCTGCTTTCTCCATGGAAGTTAGCAGCGCCTTGTGCACCTTTGGGGCTAATTTAAAGTTCTGCCTGAACAAAGCGGAAACCAAAGCTCCCAATCCTTGGGGCGGATTCTGGGGTCGTGAAAACACAGCTCAGCTCTCACCCCTGACTGCTTGCACTGAAAACGAGCTTGCGCGAAGGGATGCAGTCAAACAAGCGTTGCATGAGCGTTCTGATGTAAGACTGGTGCTACGTTGTTGTATCTAGTCTGTGGCACACCGTGTGGCGAGCGTCGCTGCCCCACGCGGGTTGGCGCGGCCTCGGTGGGTAGCGCGTTTGCGTGAGTCCACGCAAATGGGAGGTTGTTGGGGAGCGGGTTGATTAGCGGCGCTAACGAGGCTTGGTGTTGCGTTGTTGTGTATAGTCTGTGGCACACCGTGTGGCAAAATCCCGATTGTGATGTCGCTGTGCCCTGTGGTTTTGCGCGGCCTCGGTGGAAAGCGTGTTTGTTTGTGGTCGTGCCATTGGGGGAAGGAAAGCATGCTGATGTAAACGTAAACGTGGCGTGTCGCTGGCGATTGCAGGTGCGCACGAGGCTGGTGTTACATTGTTGTTTGGTCTGTGGCACACTGCGGGGAAATTTCGTTTGCGATGTCGCGGGGTTTCGCGCGGCCTCGGGACACACGCTGGTGTAAACGTGGAGTGTTGCTGCGGGGTCGGATGGTTGGCGGTGAGCAGGAGGCTTGGTATTTAATCGGCGCCATTGGTGCTTATCATCATCATCATCATCATCACCGCCACAGTCGTCGTCATCACCATCATCTTCGTTACAGTCCTCGTCCCCACTGTTACCTTCTGTCATCTCCTGCTGCGCTTTCGGGCCACCCTGTCGTCTAGCTGTTAAATCTCCATCCTCCATGTCTCTGGTGGCGGCGGGGTCCGGTCGCCGGCTGTCACAGGCGCCGACTGATCCCCTTCGAGTTTCTGCCAGTGGGCTGCGTCCCTGTTCAAAAAGAATGTTGTGGTTCCTTGTTGCGTCTTCTCTGTTTGTTTGGCTGGCTGGCTCTTTGTCCCTGTCCTTTGCCCTCTGTCCCCCTGTGCAGATTGGCGCGGTGAATGATGTGACCATTTTCTTGAGGGCCTGCTGCACGAAGTTTCTTTTCTGGGCCCCCATCTCCACGGAGGGCCCATGCAAGTTCCAGAGCACGTTCCGGAGGAAGTTCCGGAGCTTGTTCACTTCACTCATACCTTTTCACATGGCCAACGAAGTGTCCCGAGTTGCACAGCGGAAGACTAAAACCAGGCGCGGACCTTTTCCATGTTTGACATGGTAGCGGAGCAGGCCAAAGCGCTGGCTCCAGCTTTTGCTCCACGTGGCCTGATGACGCCGTGCCGGATGATGGCTTGGTGCTTCTTTGGTTGATGAGCGGCCTACGTGTTGAGCCTCAGGACTACATCATGGACTTGCAGGAGGACGTGGGCCTCGACTCCGTGGGGGTGAAGAGCGCGGAGGCGGTGGCGGTGACCAAGGACTTTAAACCCATAGAGGATTGGTGCCTTGCGGACGCAGTGATGAATGGCGAGAGGTGGATCGGCGCCAGCCAGGATGATGGCAACTACAGCCAGGACTGGATGGGAGTCAGGAAGGCCATCAAGATGGAGCCTGACGAGAGAAAAGCTAGCTACATGGAGGATGTGTCCAGCTCAGCCCAAGTCGGGGATTGGAACCCGGACTTGCTGGTCTTGACCTCGGAGGTTTTGGCCAATGTCGACAAGTCGGGGATTGGCGCCCGGACTGTTGGCTTGAGCTTCAACATGGACATGGAGGAGGCTCTGCATGGACATGGGGAAGGGAAACTTCAACTACGCGGCATCCATGGAATTAGCCTTTGGGAACTACACTTGAACCTTCTTCATTGAGAATGCCATGGAGAATTTTGATGGTCCTTCGTGCTTGGGGCAAGCCTTTGGATGATCCAGGATTTGAGTTTCGGCTACGCTTGAAAGCCTTGATCTTCCTCGACAGCTGGGTTGGTGCCAATTCGATCGATGCTGCGCAAGCTGCCCAGATGATGGCTCAGATGATAGCAAAGGCATGCGGCATCCGCCTCAGCGCTTGAGAAGATGGACAGGAAGAAAGATCGACTTCACGTAGGTCAACAAGGTCTTCATAGTGAGCTCGCCGTCACCAATGATCTCCACATTCCCGTAGTGGTTGAGGCACAACGTAAAGCGAACCACATGTTCAGCTTAAGTCAGCACCCTTTGAGTCGACTGGCACTGACTGACAACAGCGTTCTGGTTTCAGCGTCAACGCCCACCAAAATCACCACAGGGCCCGCCTGGCCCTGTCTCTGATCTGCCAGAGGCATTGTCCAACAGGATTGCTGGGGCGCACTTCTTCGTCCTTCTTCTGACCAAAAGCCTTTGAGGATTGCTCTTTCCTTTGCAAGCCACACAAAGGTCACACCAATCACGATAAGGCAGGAATACGAGTGAGTCCGCGAAGCTCTCTTTCTTCTTGGGAAGGTTGCCTTGGTGCACGAACAGCCACAAGTCCTTTATGCCGATTCTGTTCTTTGAAGAGGCGGTTGGCAGCAATGGACATATCTCGTGGTTCCACCTTATGACCTTCACGCCCAAGGCCAAGCAAGGAACTCGGCTTCTTCACGAGGACTGGTCAAAGAGCTCCTTTCTGTTAGCTCAAAGCCATTCACCACCAAGATCTCGTTGTTGTCAAACCATGGCATAGGTCCTTACCATCGTTGATCAACTTCATCTGCAGATTAGGCACAGCTTGGGCCTTGAGACCACTATCACTAACAAGATGAAGAAAGGCCAGACAAGTCGAGTCGAGAGAGCAATTGCAACGTTTCGAAAATGATTCCCACTGTTTGCTGCATTTAGATGGGAGCCATGCGCTATGGTACTGGGAGTATTTGCACACTGCCTGGATTCTCAACAGGTTTGGAGTGCACAGTGCTTTGAGCTCAACTCCTTTCGAGCTCGCGTATGGCCGACGATACATTGGCAAGGTGGTTTGCCTTGGAGAATATGTTCTTCTACTCCATCGGCAGGAAGGGATGAAGCAAGGACCTCAATGGGTTCCAGGCATTTGGGTAGGCAAAACACATGAAGATGATTTGCATTTGGTGATTGGAGTTGGTGTTGCTTTTTGGGGTTGGTTGTTGCCACTTCAAGTATCATAGGTACCCCTTCCCACCGCAACACCATAACGGCGGATGCTAAGGGCCACCAGGCCTTGGCCATCTCGCAAAAGACTGGAATGCTTAGATCAGCGAGGTTTACAAAGCACTGCCAAGGTAACATTCAAAGAAGGAAAGGGACCATTCCAACATAGCACATTTTCTGTGGGCCACCCGAGGTTGGATGCTAAGGGCCACCAGGCTTTTGCCATTTGACATAAGACCTAGACCTAGATGTTAAGATCAGCGCTCCGTGCTTTCCACAGTGCATTCCAAGGTTCACAGCGCTTGCAGCAGTTTGTCATGTTGACGATTTGATCGTGGCTGGTGTACTTGGTGGTTTAGAGTGGCTTTTGGAATCTATGCGGGGCAAATTTGTGCTCAGTGAGCCTGAGATTCTTCCACGAGATGATCAACCAGAGGATGAGGCCATTCCATGCTTGAAGAAGAGGCGCTACTTACCTCAGGAATTGTGATCATGCCTCATGAGAAGTACATTCCAAGCTTGATCGAACTCTACACAGTGTTGGTCGTGCTTCACCAGAAAGCACTCAGATGAGCCTTGAAGGACCGCCAGAAGACTGTCCTGTAGGAGCCGGTTTTGATCAGCCTTCGGAACGCTTTACATCAGCCAAGATAGAGTGGGTTTTTCAGCACAGCGTTCGCAATTTGAGCCAGTTCGTGGCAAAGCCAGCAAAGCTGGCGGAGGCAGAGGTGACGCCACACCAAAAGTGTCGCAGCAAGAAGGCAGAGATCCTTGGCGAGACAGAAGACTTGCATGGACCAGACTTCCTGGAGAGCTTCAGTGACAGTGATTGGGCCGGTGATCCATCATCGACAAAGAGGAGAAGGCACAGCGTGAGCTCTACGTTCATGTTTTTGAATGGGTGCCTGATTGCAAGCTGGTCCAGATCACAACGAAGCATTGCCTTGAGGCCCTGCGAGGCTGAGTTTTTGGCTGCTGCTGGTCCGCTGGTGGCAGTGCTGAAGTGAAGGACTTCTGGAACTTCCTGAGAAAGAGGTCAGTGATGATCAAAGCTATCAGCGATAGAGAGACTTGGGGTTGGACGCCTCCCTCAAACACATAGACGCAAGGTGTGAGGTGAAGAAAGAAATCTTGGTCATGGAGGGCATCCCCACGATGTGGAACGTGTCGGACATGGGCACGGAGAGATTGAGCAAAGTCAGGGGAGAATTCCTGATGTACTTATTCGGCATTGTGGAGATGGGTGCTGAAGGAAAGGGCGAAACTTTCTCCAGGGCTGGTGAGGAAGCCTATCACCATGAGATTGCCAAGAAGATGATGACAAGGCAAATGAAGAAGGGTGCGAAAAGAAAGATGGTGAACACCGTTATCGAGGGCATTGAAGGTGCTACAACAAAGATTCCAACAGGAATGGTGAAATTGGTGACGCTGCTCTTTTTGCAGCCAGGAGCGTTTGGCAGCACCGGGAATCAACACTACAAGCAGGAGGATGAGAAGTACACGAGCGCTGGATGGGGATACTATTTCCCTTTCCTCATCTACCGCATTGTCATTTTTGGTTTGAGAATGGTTTGTGGCTATGTCTGCAGGAAAAGGATTGGCATCTTCTTCAGGATTTTGGCACGGTTCTTGCGACAAGAAAGGACAATGGAATTTCAACGTGAACGAGATCACCAACAAGCCTTGGAGGAGTTTAAAAGCTACAGAGGCATGTTGTTGAGATCAACGCAAGATGGCGGTGCCGGTGGAGAATGGCAACTTGGTTCCACCACTACCAGAACCTTTGCAGATGGCTGAGAGACCGCCAGAGAGGGTGTTTAATGTCCAGTTGAGAGATGATTACATCGTGGAACGCAGACCAGACAGAAGTGGCGACATGCTTGTGGACGGGCAAGAGAGCGAGAACGTCTCAGAGGACCCAGGTTCAGAAGAGAGACCACCTGGTGTCTGGGTCACTGATTGGAATCCAGAACTTGGAGCGACGCAGGACTATCGGGTGTTGACAAGATCCGACCGCAGCAAGTGGCGAAGGGTACTTCATGGAGAGCCCTGGAGGAACCCTTCGACGAAGGTACCGACCCACAGCTTCAGAGATTGATGATGAGAACTTGAACTATGGCCCACGTGCAATGGAAGTGGATCATGAAGGAGATCAACAAGAGCCAGACCCACGTGATGCCGACTGGTGGGATTTGGAGACCAGCTCCTGGAAGGAGTTCTTGAGGACAAGATTGGCGGCAGAGCGCGGACCTCAGATGAGAGGCGAGACTTCGAGCATGTTGCGGTGATTGTTTGCAGCGGCCAGTGGGAAACAGATGACATGACTTGGGAGGAGCACGTAGGCACGGTACCACGAGACAGGTGAAGTTTGAACTTTGTAGGCGGAGTGTTAAAGAGTTCGCTTCACTCATACCTTTTCACATGGCCAACGAAGTGGCCCGAGTTGCACCGCGGAAAACCGGCACGGATTTTTTCCATAGTTGACAGTTTCCGAACCAGCTTCGGGGCAAGTTCTGGGGCAGGTCCTGGGATTCCTGCACGAGCCTCTCAGCAGTAGAGCCCAGGCATGCTGATATGTCATGGCGGTGTGGCGTCATGCTGGGACATGCTGGTGTGCTGGTATGGCGTCGTAATGGTGTACTGCATGTAGAATACTTTCAGGACGACATACTGTATGTAATATTTTGTGGAATTTGTCGGTGCTTGTTGCCTTTATGGCTGAGGATTACCATCCTTATTCCACAGGAAACTTTTGCAACAATGGCGGCAAAGTCCCCTTCTTAGTGGAAGGCCGGTGTGAAGTTCACAGCTGTTCCATCCGACTGTTTGTTGGATTGGGTTCGAACCCAAACTGCTCGCCAGGTCTTTTTGAACCCGGAGAGTGTGTATCGCGATGCACGCGCGCTCACAACTGCGCCTTTGTCACGCTCTATCGCAACGGCTGGTGCCAGTTAGGATCTAAATGCTTACAAGAATCACCAGCTGGTGACAGCTCTGCCATGACTTATGCGAAGGCCACGGCCTCAGTTTCCACCCGCCCAATATTCAGCGCGATGTGGTTTTCAGAACTGCCAGTCTTGGAAGCACGGTCACCTTTTTCCCACCGTAGTTTATGCTCCACGGCCCCAGAAAAATAGGAACACCCACAGCATCCAAGTTTTTCCAAAAACAAAAGCCGGCCTGAGGGGGTGCGCAAAGTTGAGATCAGAGTTTGGCTCCAAGAGTCGGAAGGCTCCAGAGTCAAAACGGAAAGGGTTTCAACCAGGGCCTGGGTGTAAGATCAAGTACAAACCTTACAGTTTCCAGCTACCAAGTGCTAGTCAAAAGTCCTCGACCAACAATGCGTCTTAAACGTCACCAATCTCACGCAGACACACTTGATGGCAACCTGCGCACAATCATCCAGAATCGTAGGAGGGCAGTCAACTTGGTTTCCACATTCACCATGACAAGCAGGTTCGTCTATCCAGCATCCCACTTCCTGACATCGCAGATGCCACGCTGGCATTTTTTGGCTGGCAGGCAACTTTTGTTGGAAATGTTCAAAGCCTGCACATGACTCGGCATCACTTGTGTTCACCCACCCATCACTGGGCTGGCCACACAAATAGTTCAAAATCTGAGATCCAATAAATGCGTTTCCAAAACTCATGCGTTCTGGAAAGCTGTGTGAACATGAGTTGCTGCGTCTTTTTTGAAATGTTTGAGGTGGTGAAGTCAGTGTGCAAAGATGAGGAATGCTGGGGGGGTTGGGCCGCTCGGCTCTCAGTAGTGGTGAAGCAAGTCCAAGATGCAACGTGACTGCGCAATAGTTTTGCCATGCCTGTTTTGCTGGTTTTTCGGCGACGCTTCCGGTAGTTGCCAAGGACTGACTTCTACCTGATGAACCGCAGGCATTGCCATTCAGAGCCTCTGGGAGTAATCAACGCAGGGAATTATATAAGCGCGTTTGGCTGACAAACGATGAATATTGTATTTTTTCACCGATGCACACAGAGAAAGAGAGAGAGAGAGAGAGAAACATTTCAAACAATGTGTTAGATAATAATCGAAAGTAGCCACATAAAGCAAGTCAGGGGGTTACAAGTTGCAAGTCGGCAATTGCTTTGCGCCGAGCATCTAGAACTCTATGGCTCTTGGACTGGACTATGCAGGCGTTGGAATGTTGCACGTGCGTTTCTTGATATATTTTGCTATATGGCTATATGTCATGAACCCGATTGGGTTTCCAGAATAACATGTGCTCCTGCCAGCAGGGCAATGATCCGCAGCCATAGATGTTGGAAAACACGCAGTGAAATGCATTCCTATGCCTGTCAGAGTCTAATTTGACGGGTTTAGCAGCACTCAAGCTGCACCGCGTGCTTGGCTGAACTTTCATGCGTGCTGTGGTGTATTTCTTGATAAGTTCAACTGCAGGGAACCTATTGAACCCCCGCAATTTTGTTTCGGCACTGGAAGCCTTTCTCGATAATTGGGTTGCCAAAGCTTGGCTTTTGCCCATGCCTGGGACACATCGTTTGCGATTTTGCTGGGTTGCAGGGGGAAGTCTGGAATGCTGAAGCTGCTGAAGCATCTGGTCTGGGGAGCTCGTGCAACCTGCCCTGCAGACCTTTGCGGACAGAAGGAGGTTGAACGACATTGGACATGCTTTTAAAATTTGGCGTTGGAATGGTGAACCTATCATTTGTCATTTGGAAGGCAGGCGGCTTGAAGAATAGGGTACCAATGCTTGGAATCTGGCGTGTTTTTTGGCGGCAATGAGTAGTTGATTGAAGAGGGCATCGAGGTTTGCTTTTAGGATTTTAGGAAGCGCCTTGGTACAGCAACCGCCAGTGATGCTGGCTTCGAAACCTCGCATGGAACAGTCCATTACTGCAGCGCCAAACCTAGTGCAAAAAATAGAAGCATGCGAACCGCTGCCGCTGCGAACTGCAAAGCTCTTGGCCGAAACCAACTTGCGCACAGGTTCCGCACCTTCAAGCCCTCAGCCCTTTCATGCGTAGTGGGGTACCAGGGGCTTGTCCATTTGTGTGAAGTCGCGCGTGCGCGGCCGCCGTGGGCCCTGTGTTTTATAACGTTTTGTTTTCTAGCCTCATAGGTTTTTATTTCTCAAGTCGGTTGTTCTTTTTGTTGCTCGCGTTGATCGTGCCATGTGTTTTCAATCATGTTCAAACGTTCCCTTTGGCAATGTGTCTTACCTTTCAGTTTGTTGGGAGGATTGTCCTGCCTTAAACCATGTTTCACTCCAAGATTTCCTTATACCAAGACACAGTTTTGACTATAGAGGCGCAGGACCATGAAGGCCATTAACAAAGGATGCCCCTTGGAATGGCTAAGCAATTGCTAATACTGTATATAGTATACTTATTGAGCCTCCTATAGTGGACGAGAGCTGCACACACAAAAAGGAATATATATATATATATATTTATTATGTGAATGTCACTCCATGACATGGACTGAGGTTGACTAAGGAACGTCCGCTGCTTGGGCACGAACCCTTTTGCCACCGTCACTCGCGACCTCCTAAGATGGGAGGGACAGCTTGAGCACCTAAGAGCCATGACTACGTTGGCGTGAAAAGCTTCGCGCTGCCCGTTTTCGAGAGAGCGACACTTCGCGAGGTTGTTCTTGGATTGGTTGCAGTTGTTGCTACCTTCAAATTGGTAGCGGAGCCCCGACCAGGGGCTCCCTACCGTGCTGCCAGTCGACAGTTGGTTGTTGATTTGAAAGTTGGTTGGAGTTGAACGTTGGTACATTGCTCTTGCACCCTGTACGTTGCACGCTGGCCTTTGCTTGTTGCACATTGTACATTGTTCATTGAGCAAGCTGACATTGAGCATTGGACATTGCGCCTTGATCGTTGATCGTCGTACATTGAGCATTGCTACACGTTGTGCAGATGGCTTCGACTTCGAGCACGGCTGGTGACACCACAAAGGACTCATGGGTGCCGACCTTTAGCAATCGGCCTCAGGACTACAGAGAGTGGAGGGCTCGCATCCACCTGTACTACAAGAAGATGCAACTGCAGAAGAAACCTGTTGAAGGAATCATCAATATCCTCACCACCATGACCGGCACAGCATGGAAGCAGTTGGAACCCCAAGCTGACGCATTGAGTGAGGACAAGGAAGGTTTCTCAAAGTTGATAGCAGTTTGGACAGGACGTTCAAATACGATGACCGTGTTGAGCAACCAAGGGCCTTCGAGAAGTTTTTCTATAGCCTCTCAAGAAGGCCGGATCAGACATTGATGTCGTATTGCGCTGATCATCGTGAAGCACTGCGGGAGGTCCAGAAACACAACATCTCCCTGCCGGCGGAAGTGACTGGTTGGCTCCTCCTTCGGAGGAGTGGGTTGTCTCAGGAGCAGAAGCAATTGGTACAATCACAGTGTGGAGCAACCTTGGAGGAAACAAAAGTTGAAGAAGCTATGTACTTTTTGTTTGGCCAAGATTTTCGTGGCCGCTCCACCTATGACCATCGTGGCAAGCCCTACAATGCACCTCGCTCAGCTGGAAAACATGCCCACAAGTGGCAGAAGAAGGGCTCCCAATCGGCATACGCCGCCAACGATGATGATCCCGACCTCCAGGGCTACGAAGAGTTCTACGAAGTTGATGAGGCTGACGCCTATTTTGGTGATTGGCCGGAGGATCCTGAAGAGGTCAACTATGAGGAGGACGAGCTGGAAGAAGTTCTCCATCAGGAGGACGATATGCCTGATGTTGATGACCCCGAATGGGAAGAGGCATATGCATCATACCTTGATGCCCGCCGGAGCTCAAGACCAACCGTGGCTACTATCCAGTTGTGGCCTTAGCAGACCCCAGTCCATCCAGCTCAGCCCAATCCCAACGCCCCTATCCTCCAAAGGGGAAAGGATCCAAGGGCTCCAAAGGCAAAAGCACCTCCAGGTCACCACCTCAGAAAGGTGACGCCAAGTCTCGGGGCAAGGCCGCCCTATCCTCCAATTCGTTCAACAAGAACACCTGTCTCCGGTGTGGACAGCCAGGCCATTTCGCAGCCCAGTGCCCGCAGAAGCGTACCACTCCAAGCAACAGCGCATCACCCACTTCGAAGAAGTCCAAGGGTGATCACAACGCCCTCATGGTGAACTTCGCAATGAAGGACGCCTCAAGCATGCCAAACGGCATCCATGGCGCCATTGATGGCGGTGCAAGTTGTATGGTGGTAGGCCATGACAACCTTATGCAGTACATCGAGCACTTCAGCCAGTTCCACATAATGGACCAGATGATTTCCAGTTCCGCCCGACAGTGAAGACACTCCAGTTCGGCGGTGATCGATCCTTAGATTCGTCAATGGCCTCCTGGGTCGAGCACAGACCTTCATCGTCCCAGGCAGCACACCGCTGCTGATCGGTCGCCCGATCTTGAAGGCGATTGGCATCCAGCTCAACTTCATGGAAGACACGATGAAAGTACGAGATGGTTCATGGCAGGCCATCATCATGGGCTGTGGCACTACCTCGAGCTCACAGGCCTTGAGCCACCACAGCTCACACACGAACAGGCCATGAACACACAAGATGATGACAACAACACAGACGACAACAGCACCTCCGATCCTGAGGACATGGATGAAGACGATGATGACACCCTGCACCGACGTGCACTCACGGACAAACTTGTCCGGAGTTTCCGTGCGCACCAACAACACCTAGCCCAACAGCACGAGGCCACCATTGAGGCCGCACTCCAAGCACATGCGGAACATCGCATGCAGTTCTGGGAGATCTATGCAGGAAACGCCAACCTGGCCTCAGCCATGCAGGCCAAAGGCTATGTCGTGCGCACCTTTGACATCCGCAGCGGTTGGGACTTCACGAACCCCAAGCGCCAGCGAGAGCTGATCAAGCTCTACTACCTCACCTCGCCGGACGTGATCTGGCTTGCACCACCTTGCACAAAGTGGTCACCCATCCAACGCCTGAACATCCGTAGTCAGGCTGATCAAGACCGACTGGAAGCACAACAGCAGCACGAGGAGGGAACCCACCTCCGATTCAGCAAGAACCTACACAACAAACAACACAAACAACGACGACTTTCACTCTTCGAGCATCCCAGGTACGCAGAATCCTGGAACACCGACACACTACAACAGCTAGAGGGACATGACGCCCACATCGACCAATGCCAATATGGAGCAACACTTCCGGACCATGACGGCATTGAGCAGTACATCCGCAAGCCAACCACCCTGAGAGTCACCTCAGAAACATTGGCACAACTCCTTGGGCGCACATGCCAAGATGAGCACTACCACTTGCCCATCGAAGGCAGCTCACCAAGCATCGGCAGTCGAGCAAAAGCCACAGGCAGCTACCACCCACAGATGTGTCAGGCATGTGCCGACATTCTCCACTACTACCTCCAGGAACACTACTGGCCCAACTATGAACCTGAATCAGCACATCACCAAGACACTCCAGATTCACCACCCGAACCACAAGCGGCAGACGATGAGCCATACGATGAACCACAAGCCTCAGCAGAAGCAGATGAGCACTTCACGAACAACAAAGGCATCCTGACCCGACTTCAGGAACAGCACTTTGCAGCAGCGCAACGAACAGTGCAGCGACTACACCGCAACTTGGGCCATCCTACCAACTTGGAGTTGGCTCGAATCCTCAAACAGAGGAACGCAAGTGCATCCATCATTGCAGCACAGCAGCATACATGCACACTATGTGATGCACACCGTCCACCACCACAAGTGCCAAAAAAGCAGTTTGCGCACTGGCGGCAGCTTCAATGCACGAGTACAGGCAGACACCGTGTGGATTCATCCACCCACCAGCGTCCAGCAGGACGGCAAAAAGCCACATCCTGTCCCGATTCTCTCCATCGTTGATGCCACTACAAAGTTCATGACAGCCAGAGTCATCCCCAGGGAACAGTCCGATGACCTCATGACGGCCTTTGAGAGAGGCTGGATTCGCTTCTTTGGACCGCCAGCCATCTTGCAGATCGACGACCACCGCGGCTGGGCCTCAGAGAGGTTGAGGACATGGGCCAGTGATCATGGCATCCAGCTGGAGATATCCCCAGGGGCGCACACCCGCCTCAGCGTCATCGAACGACGCCATCAGGTCCTACGACGTGGACTTGAACTTTTCCTAGCACAAGGGCCGCAGCCAGACAAACCAGTGTCCGAACAGCTGGCCCGAGCAATCTGCTATGTGATCCCGCAGATCAACAACAGCCCCAACGTCCAAGGCTACAGTGCTACCCAATGGGCAATGGGAGTTCAACCCCGCATGCCCGGAGTCCTCATGGATCACGACCTCACCACAGCACAGCTCACGCCCAGTGAAGCTATGCAGCAAAAGCTTCACAGAAGCAAGCAGCCATAGCAGTGATGGAGGCCGACAACGACTCCCGACTCAGGAGAGCACTCCTTCGGCAGCACCACGCCATCCAGTATACCTACACCGCAGGCCAAAGGGTATACTACTGGAGGGACGCGCCAGGGGGAGCAGGGCCAAAGATCAGGTGGAAGGGACCCGCCACCGTGATCATGACCGAACCCGGTCGAACAGGCCCCAGCACCAACACCTACTGGATCACGCGCGGCACCACCTTGCTGAGAGTCTTGGGGGAGCACCTCCGACCAGACCTCAACCACAGTGACACCACAGACCCGATCCAACGAGCCAAGGCCGCCCTTGACTCAGTTCGCGGTCGCAGCACCACGCTGTACTTCGACCTCCAGCGCTCCAACAAGCGCAAACGCTCTGAAGTTCTCACCGAAGATGAAGAAGATCCTGAACCAGCACAAGAACACACCACCCAAGTTGAGGGAACAAGCACCACACCGGCAATAGCAGACCCAGCAGCCACACCGACGGACTACTACCGCATCCATGTTGAACCACGTCAACGCCTATTTGTTCCAGGCAACGATGCACCCAAGGACCAATTCCTTGATGCCAGACTCACGACCATCCGTCGACCGAACCAGCCAAGGACCGTCCTCCGAGATGATTGGCATGCAGCCAATGCCGACCGTGGAATGCCTTTCCATTGGACTGGAAGCACCACCTTCAAGCTGCGCATCGAGTCCGGGACAACCATGCAGACCGATGCAACACCCCAGCCAATGATGGTGCCGGAATCCTCCAGTGACACCGACATGCCCTCAGCACATCCAGCAGGAGCTACCTCCAACGATGCAGGAACCACTACATCACCACCAGCCCTGGCACCAGGCGACGACGCCCCAATGGCACCCGGAACAGGTGATGACCCCTCCATCGAAGCAGGCACAGTCCCACCACAGAGTGCTGGCGAACCAGAACCACCTCCTAGCATGCCAGAGACACCAACAGTTCCATCGCACCAGAAGGAACTGTACACTCCGGCA